GTTTCCTGCACTCTATCAATGCCACCGCCAAGAAATCTCTGGTACAGAGATTGGCTATATACTCCACAACACATCATAAATCAAATAAATATATCATGGCATTCTAATATTATTATACAAATGCTTTCATTGCATCTAGTTACGTTTTGGTGCTTTTTTTTTGTCTTATCTATAATCTTTTCTGCCACAAGTGCCAATGATGTATGTTGTAGCAATCAGCTGATATATATTAGTAAAGTTAAAAAAATTATCTTTCCTGCTGTTTTTTTAGTAGACTTCAAACTGTCCCAATTTGTCCTCGCCGTCACCCCTGCCCCAGACTTTTTTTTCTGTGCTGCTGGAGTGAGCAATGAAAATGCAATATGTAATTTTGACATCCCTTGAAGGTTTGTACGCTAAACCGTGAAATGTGGTGAATGGAGAACCCAATATACTAAATTTAGAACAATTCACTTCTCTGGGCATATTTTAGAATTTTCCCATCTGTCTGTTTTTTTTTTTTTGTTTTTTTTTATTCTTTATTTTAGTTGTGCTCGGAATAACAACAATCTTGCGTGGCCACAACAGCCGTAGCAAGCATATTTATAACATTTCAAATTGTGGCAGATCAGAAAGCACATTTTATACATATATTATATGAAATTAGCAAACCATGTGATATCCATATACAGCAGGAACCATACTATAACATTAGATTAACAGGCTATGGGACTTCAGGCGTTTATATCAAGTAGTAGGCTTCCTGTGAGTTTTAGGCAACAAGCTTGAAAGTTTTAATAAATGATTATCGTCGTAAGTAATGGACATGCTTAACTGAGTTTGCTTACAAATTGTGTCACACTTAGATAAGTAGGCAACATGCATAAAGTTTTAACTGTGTATGAACTACCACTGTTGAGTGCTGAGTGTCACCCCCTCACCCCCCCTATTACTTGTTCAGTCCAGGTTTATAGACTAAATTTGTGTGGCAGAGAGACTTGCTTTCAAAGTGTCCTCACATGTGTCTCGGTAATCTCTGCTTTCTTTGGGCTCAGCGTGTTCCCGCCGCAGGTCGGCTGCCCATGTGTGGTGTGATTCCGTCGGGGTCACCTGGTGGGCGCTGTGCAGCAGACCATGGGTAGTGTGTGGCTCCCAGCGGGGTACCTCTGGATCTCAATGTGTCAGGGTAATGACAAGTTGCGGCTCAGGATCCTGTGGTCTGTTCTGTGTGGCTTGTGTTTGCCCTCTTCACTGCCTGTCGCGGTCTTATCCAGGCTGTGTGGCTCATTTAAATGTGAGGATGCCTGCGGGTGGATGGCTGCAGTAGTGGTCTGTGCTGCTGGTGCCTTCCATCTGTCTTGTTTGCTGCCATTGCAGGTAAGTAAGTGGTTTCTGGTTTCAGCGCCCGCACATGTGGCCTCCGCCATCTTGGTTGCACTGTTTCCATTGCGGGTCGGGGCACCTTTGCTGCGGCACCTTGTGTGCATTGTGGTGGTCGGGGCTCGAGGGTGAGGACCGGGATCACCCCCCCGGTCCATAGGGGGGGGAACGGAGCCGGTTCCTCGCGGGTCTGGCTCTTGGCAGAGCAGCAATTGGCGTGACAGCTGGGCAGCGGCCGTCTGCCCCGCTCACCGCCGGAGTAGGCCTCGTTGTGCCAGTAAGGATTCTTCCTCCAGGGGACTGAAACCCATTGGGCCAGCCTCACCCTGGTTTTAGTGCTCTCCACCCGGTAAGGGCCACCATCGCCGGACGTTTTAATGTCGTAAATCTCGATTTTATAGCTTAGTTAGTCTGTAGTTGCTGGAGCTGGTCTTACATGCGCCTGTCCAGCTCGGCGGTCCGGCCCCGCCCCCCCCCCATCTGTCTGTTTTGACCTACACTTTACAGATTTTAGTTTAACATAATTAATTGTTTAGGGAATAGAAGAAAGTGACCATGGTCTCATATCTTTAACCAGAGCTGATTTAATAATTAGAGCAATATTAATAGAATGGTTTGGGATGGTTCAAAACCAGTATGCGGACTTGAACGTAATTGTCACAATCTCTTACCTTACTCCTTCGCGCCCACATGGTGCAGGATCCAAGGCTGGCTCCTCTCACAGTGTGTTCGGCATATCCCACGCCGGAGACTGGAATCGCGTCCCTTTTTGATGATGCGGGGCATATGCACCGGTCCCACGTCATCAATACTGTCCCAGAACGTTTTGGGGGCGTGGACTTACAGCAAAAGACGCTCCCTTCTAAAAAGGGTGCCTTTTGCTTTGTTCCTTGTCCTATTGTGGTTCCTTGTGTTCCCCTTAGTTCTATTTGGTTCTCCTTATGATTGTATTGATATTTCTGTGTTTTGACTCGGCTTGGCTTTAGACTTCTCTGTTCTCTGGTTCCCTGATTCGGCTTGTATTTTGACTTTCTGATTTCTGGTATCCTGACCCGGCTATTCTCGTATCGTTCTCCTGATCTCTGGTATCCCGACTGTTGGCTATTCCTTGACTACTCTTTTCTACCTATGTTAAACCCGACCATTCTAAGGAAAAAAAAAACAGACATAAAAGTTTGTGCAAAAAAATTGTGCAAAAGCACCGTCTCTTATATAGTTAATTTATTGTGCAAACATCCTACTCACAGCAGCCAGATCCTCTGCCTGTGAGACTGTGACAGAGCTCTTGTACTCCAACCGAATACCTCCGCCAGTCCGCTTCCTCGCTTCTGCAGGGGAACCTGAAATGCTTCAGCCGCAGCTGCCGAAGCTTGACTGGGGTCTTTCCGGATCTCCTCCACCCGACCAGCTGCAGCTCCATTCTTCCAGGGAGGTATTGTCTCATCGGCCTATTCCTCTGCAGTCCTCCTTCCTGTTTGAATCGTGCAGCCAGTCAACATGTCCAAAGACTCTGTTACTGGAATCTCTAAAAATTCACAGAGTACACACAGTTCCAAATAGAACTAACATATACAGCTTTATTTTTACTTGTGTTTAACCTATATGCTCATTACATTAAAATTACTGCGACAACTTCAATAAATTACAAATAACCAAATTATATCAGAAAACATACAGGAATGTATAATAATATAAAGATTTATTCATAAAGAGATGGGGAAGACAATAATTAATATGAACTATCTCTCCTGACTGCAAAATTCACTACACCCTGTTCCAAATTATTATGCAAATTCTATTTAAGTGTCACAAAGATTAAATATTTTGTTTTTCAGTTTAACTTATGGATGGCATTGTGTCTCAGGGCTCTTTTGATCACTGAAAACAATCTCAGACACCTGTTAAAATTAGATTGCCAGGTGAGCCCAATTTAAGGAAAAACTACTAAAGGAGGGTGTTCCACATTATTAAGCAGAGCACCATTTTCATGCAATATGGGGAAGAAAAAGGATCTCTCTGCTGCCGAAAAGAGTGAAATAGTTCAATGCCTTGGACGAGGTATGAAAACATTAGATATTTCACGAAAACGTAAGCATTATCATCGCACTATTAAGAGATTTGTGGCTGATTCAGAGCACAGACGGGTTTGTGCAGATAAAGGCACATTGGGAAGATTTCTGCCAGACCCATACATCGGATTAAGAGAGCAGCTGCTAAAATACCATTACATAGCAGCAAACAGATATTTGAAGCTGCTGGTGCCTCTGGAGTCCCACAGACAGAAGGTGTAGAGCCCTCCAGAGTCTGGCATCTGTGCATAAACCTTCTATTCGGCCATCACTAACCAATGCTCACAAGCAGAAATGGCTGCATTGGGCATAAAAATACATGAAGACTCATTTTCACTGATGAGTGCCGTGCAACCCGGGATGGTCCAGATGGATGGAAAAGTGGATGGTTGGTGGACAGCCACCCCGTTCCAACAAGGCTGCGACGTCAGCAAGGCGGTGGTGGAGTCATGGTTTGGGCCGGAATCATGGGAAGAGAGCTGGTCGGCCCCTTTAGGGTCCCCGAAGGTGTAAAGATGACCTCTGCAAAGTATGTGGAGTTTCTGACTGACCACTTTCTTCCCTGGTACAGAAGGAAGAACTATGCTTTCCGTAATAAAATCATCTTCATACATGACAATGCACCATCTCATGTTGCAAAGAATACCTCTACATCAATGGCTGCTATGGGGATAAAAGGAGAGAAAGTCATGGTGTGGCCTCCATCCTTCCCTGACCTCAATCTTATTGAGAACCTTTGGAGCATCCTCAAGCAAAAGATCTATGAGGGTGGGAGGCAGTTTACATCCAAATAGCAAAACAGCAGCTCTGGGAGGCTAATCTGACATCTTGCAAACAAATTCAAGCAGAAACTGTCAAAAAAACTCACAAGTTCAATGGATGCAAGACTTGTGAAGCTGCTATCAAGTAAGGGGTCCTATGTTAAAATGGAACGTGACCTGTTGAAATGTTTAAAAAGTTAAAATGTTGTTATAAGTTTGATTGAAATAGCTTTTGATTTCAGTAAATATATGCTGCAAACACAACAAATGACAATTTTCAGTTCTTTACAACCTATAAATAATAATAATTTGGAACAGTGCATTGTAAGTTTTTTATGTTTAAAAAAAATACTGTTATCATTAGGAGGTTTGTTCAATAAAATTTGAATTGTACTCTTAATACAGTATATACTCGAGTATAAGTCGTTTTTCAGCACATTTTTTGTGCTTAAAAACCCCCACTCGATTTATACTCGAGTCACTGTCTGTATTATGGCAACTTAGAGAGCCGCGGCCGTCAGAGCCATGGCAACGATCCGCGCGGCAAACAAGACCGCGAGACTGACAGTGGAGCTGACCGGAACGGAGGAGAAGGGAGCTGACAGGAACTGACAGGAGCTGCAGGAAAGGTAAGTAAATGCTTCCTGCTGGCCCCCCCACTTCACAGCCCATGCCACTGGACCACCAGGGATTAAGATAGCCCCCCTCCCTGACCAGTTAACAAGCAGGGAGGGGGGACAAAAAAAAAAATTAAAATAAAAAAATAATAATATTAAAATATATATTTTTTTAAATAATAAAAATGCCCTCCCCCCACCCAGTTCACACACACTACACAAACACACACTCTGCATTATATACACAGAGTGTGTGTATATAATGCAGAGTGTGTGTTTGTATGAGTGTGTGTATATATAATGCAGAAAAAAAATCACAGAATTTCATAGCCCCAAGATTTACCCTCGACTTATCCACGAGGCATAGCATATTTCACAATTGTTGGTCACAAAACTGCACTCGACTTATACATGAGATCGACTTATACACGAGTATATACGGTAGTTGATAACATGATATCATGTTGCATAATAATTTGGAACAGGGTGTATATGCAAATCTACTTGAATATGCAAATTAACAAGCCTTGCCATTCAGGTAGTTCTGCTTCAAGATCTGTGCATCCAACAGGTGGTGCTGTACAGGCTCCACAGCCAAATCCATCTAGTTGATTGTAAGCATCAGCAGGACAGGAGAGCACACAAACCACCACATTACACACACCCTGCACCCACAATGGGCACAGGGTGATTTAAACATAAGAGTCATCCAGAGACCTAGTTAAATTGCCCATCTTAAGCTCTTGGTGATGGTGACTACCATCACAAAGATAAGTCTGATGGTTTGTGTCCAGTCAGATACTTCTCAGAGAACACAGAACACATGCACGGTAATAACTATGTCTGCCAATCCATTCCCTCGGTATGAGAAGTTCTGACACGGAAGTCTGATACACTTTGCTAATCCCAGACAGAGACTAGTATGTGTGGAAAATTCAATATGTAAACAGTGCTTTGTCTTATTTACCTTTATTTATCAGACTGCATGGGTAGATAAAGTGATTTTGGTGCTTAGATTGCCCCTTAATGCCTTTCACATTTCAGTTATCTAAAATTTGGTGTTTAGAGAATAATCCTGAAAATCCCCACAATGGGGGGGTGTGGCCTGGACGCTGATCAAGATGGACGCTTAATCACAGCGCTCCGCTCCACCAAAGCCCTCAATAAGCTTTTATAATCATTCCCTGCACGCTTTTGCTGACAAATGGGCCGCAACAGAAGGTCCGAACACCCCCACACACCGAGGGGGGCCCACTCTAAATTACACCAAGACCCGATGGACGGGTATGTCCGCTCACAAAGGGGCCCGGATGACGAGGCTGACAATTTAGGATCAGGGCCGCCATCTCCGGCCTCAACAGCCGGCACCGAGCCGACGGCACTGGATCGCATTGGAGAGGAGCTATGTATCATAGCAACCTCCATGGTGACTAAAGGCGACCTCCTTACCCATACAACCTCCATACAAGATGCCCTCTGGGCAGAAATTGCGGGGATCCGGTTGGAGGTTGGCACCCAAGCAGGCCGCATTCAATCACTGGAGACAGCTCTGGAGACACAAGCAGCCAGGAGCTCTACGCTTGATACCGCGGTCACCAGACAGGGGGACCTCCTACTTAACATGCGGCATGCCATTGAAGATCTGGATAACCGGGGCCGCCGCTGCAATATTCGAATCCCCTGAAGCGGATGGCGGGGAGAATGGGGAGGAGCTACTCTCCGGCCTGTTTCACACTATATTGCAGCAGGAGGCGCCGGCGCATTTTAAACTTGACAGGGCACACAGAGCTCTGCGACCTCGAACGCCAGAAGAGGGCCCTAGAGATTTGATCTGCTGCCTCCACTCGTATCGACTCAAGTAGGCCATCATGAACAAGGCGAGGGAGCGGCCCACGTGGCCCTATATGGGCGCGCAAGTAGCCCTCTATCATGATTTATCCCCGATGACGCTGGACGCCCGGAGAGCTCTTTGGTCAGTTACCGCCATGCTGAGGGAACGTGGGATCCCGTACAAATGGGGGTTCCCGTTCGCCCTTCTTGCTCGTGCCCAGGATGGATGGATCTCTGCCCGCCACCCGGATGACGTGCTGAGCCTGTTGGAGGGACAGGGCCTGCCGCCTATGCTGGTCTGCAACTGGATCATGGAGTCACTGGGCCCACGACCCCGACCTCAGAGAATGCCCCGGCGGCGAAGAGGGGCGACCCCGCCGGGTCCCCCGCCACGTAGACGTCCGGACCACAGAGACCCAGGGGAGTGAGTACAATCACCGCTCCGGCGGTTCCAACGACATTGACGGCCTACTCACTCGCCCACAACTAAATGACAGCTACAATTTAGTTTAAAATGTATACATAAACGCATGCGGATGCTAACTCTTCAACATGTAACAAGAACAAAACCGGGGAAGAAAATAAAAAAAAGAGGTTTTCTTTCTTGTAACTCTGAATAGGACCTGCGTGTCCACCAGGCATATGTTGCATTTGCTTGTATCACCTGCTCTATAAATGAAATAAAAGATTTACAATGGTATTTATTGCTGTGGATTTTTTTTTTAATGCACTCATATGCAGTCAAAATGACATCATAAAGCCCGACAGCATTAAAGCTCACAGTTATGTGTCGTTTTCTTTTGTTATCTGCCACACTCCGATTAAATAATCTTTCCCGTATCCTTCCTATGATTGGGCTCTAGATTTCTCCCTAATCTGGACAGGACTGGACTGGATTGTGAAGCCAATTTATAAATTGTTTTACTTACATGATAATGAAACTGGAGTCTAACACATAAAATAGATTCTAGTGTACTCACCCTTTAAGGAGTTCAGGTGGTCATCATATGTTATCTGCAAAAATACATTAAAAAAAACAAAACAAAGAATCACTTAATGGCAGTAATATATTAATTTTATTAGAATAATTAAACGCAGCTCGAGTTTCTCACCGTCAGTACTGCTTTAATTGCAGAGGCGGAAAGATAGCAGAAGTCCTAATTCCTGGGGTGGTTCTGTTGAGTCAATCGATGCTTATTTTATTGATACAAGTAGGGCTGCACCTAACTTTACAACATTTATTATTTAACATAGCAAGGTGTATGGTCAAAATTGGGTTAGAGTATTTCCCAAAATATAGCTGTTCAATACTATGCAAGCCTTTAAGAAATGTAAAAAGACAGAAGAGCACAGTACATCAACAGCCACATGGGAGGTGTTTGCAGATGGGTATTGACGGCGCTTTGTTTCATTGGAATAAATGTTTCCTATAAAGGAGAAAGAATTCTGCTCCTATCTTATACAATATTTAGTGATTTTTAAAAAAGTACTGGCACTCACGAATGGTGACTACTAATCCCCTCCCAAAAATATCTATAGAAATAGAATAAAGGTTTATACTGATGTTTTTGTCTTCATTTGGACCAGTTAGTATGGTTGCTCGTAAAGTTTTCAAATTATAGATTGTGGAATGTGTTTCCACCTAACTAAATGTGTAACTATAAAAGTAAAAGGGCAATCTGTGCTACAAAAAATAGTAATAATAAAATATCTTTGCAGGTCCCTTTCTGCTGCAGTGAGTACACATAACATGGATTTACATGTTCAGGTCTGACATTGTACTGGGTCACTGATCTTCAGAGCCTGTTTCTGTTTTGGAGTAAGGCTTATTACCTTTTCCAGTTATGAATAGCAATGTATAACAAATTACTTAATACACTGGATCAGTCACTTACATAATTAAAGGTGCACGCGAATGTTGGAAATACAAGCAGCAGGTTTACTTCTATAAATAAGCTTTACAGACCTCCCTGTAAAAGCAAAATAAGCTCTCAGCTAACCCAATGTTTCTCCATAGAGATGCAGTGATTTGAAGTGGTTATGGTAGCAGGAGTCTGTATGTGCAGCGTTTCAGCTTAAAGAGCCGCATAAAAAGAGATATTGGCACTTGTCTGCCAGGGGATAGTTACATCCTCGGTATTGGTGGTTTAACTCTGTTCCGGGCTGCCTGTCAATTCAATGCATATTTTACGTTTGTCCTCAGTGCGCTGGTGACAGAAGTAATCAGCTTCACCCTTACAGACAAAGCCACTCCCTCCCATAATGTATGCAGCCTTCCCCACTTTATCGCACTTCATTTCCTATCTGTTTCTCTTTATTGTCCCCACTCTCTCCCTCCTCTTGCCGGCCCAGTGAAGACTGTGCTGGACAGTGCAATAGTACGCGGAAAGCATCGCAGGATGTTTTGCCCCATCGCTTGATTACACGTAAGTTTTAAAGTTGTTGTTTTTTAGCATTTAAACAGGGAGGAAAGACCTAATAGTACTGCCCAATAGGAGATTTTTGATTTAAAAAAAGTAAAGTGTAAAAAGAGTTACCGTAAACCTTTAACCCTGAATGGAATGATGGCATGGCGGTTTCCACCCACTATAACCACTTTAATGATATATAGAAGTTGCAGTGCCTGCAGTGTTCCTTTAAGGTTGAGAAAAATTGCTCTAAAGTTCAAGCGTGTTGAGGTAACATCATTCTAAGGATTATTTATACATACTCCCACACGGACCGTTTCCTAACTAGCTAGACTTTGTGTGCCCTTTCTTTACTTAATTCCAATTAGATGCATCTTTGCTTCTCAATTCACCTCTCCCCACTGATGTTTTTTTGTATCAAATAGAAAGTATGGCCAGAAAAACTACCAATAAATATCGGTCTAAATGGCTGTGGCCACAGCAGAGATGTGTCCACTGTTATTTGTATACAGATCCCGGCAATGTGTGTTCCATTTTAGTAATGGTAACATATACCTTAGGAAACATATATTTCCTCTATTGTAATCTAGCCGTATTATAACACTCCAGAGATATTGTAACTATTCCAAGATAAGAGCATCTGAAAGGCTGTTAGATTATGGGCTTCGTATAAAGGTGTTATGTACAATCTAAACTGCACTAAACAGCATCAAATTGAAAGCACTCAGGCATATAGGAACGTCTCTGCAATTTGTAAAACATTTATTCCATATATTGACATAAAAACTTTTTTTTTTATGTATTGATTGTATTTTCATAGCTTCCTACACGATAACACTTTTTATAGTGATATCCAAATGAGTGGATACAGAGAGAAGATGGAGGCAGGCGATGCAGTTATGCTCCAGTCAAAGACTGTTCCTAAATCATTTTCCACACTAATTAGGAGTACTACATTAATAAATATAGCCCGTCAAAGGATATATTTTAGCTATGAAAAAGTTGGGACTCATCCATTTGTTATGTTGCGTATTATTTGAAATATGTTATATTTTTTTTATGTGTTTCTGAGATAAATGAAACATATCACGCTTTCACCCAAAATACAGACAAACAAATAAATACAGTTTGATTTTAAAGGGTCACTCCAGACCCCAAAGCATATTTAGCTTGCTGAAAAGCTTTATGTGTGAAGAGTGTGTCCTCTTTTTTTTCATTTTGCAAAAAGTGCAGATTTCCATAGAAATTGCCTGGTCACACCCCCTTGGCTTTCAATCAGACAACAAGCAATGTTACTTCCTGGTTTCGTTAGCTCAATGCAGCTGACCTCAAGAAGCAGCAATTCCCCAGAGCACCTGACTTCCAAAGACTTCTCATTCAGCTGTATTGGGAAGTCTGTGATTGGACAGCCACAGGAAGTCTGGGCACGTTAGAAGGGGAGAGCTTGCAAAGGCAGCAGACAAGAGATTTTGGAAACGTATTTTGGATAATCCCCAATGAAAATATACATAATTAAATGCATGCAAGTTTTCGTTTGGGGGTATCTCTACTAAACTGTGATTTGAATTTATTTTGTATTTGGGCAGTAGAGTGTCCCTTTAAGTAGCCTTCTAAAATGTTACTTATCTTAGCAAACAAATATGGGAAGTCAGTTACAGCCATATTGTGTTAAACTCACCACTAAGTATTCCAATATTGGTGGGTCCTAAAATAATTTTTAACATGGGAGATGAACATGCTAACTGCAATACTTACTGCTTAAAGGGACACTAGAGTCACCAGAACAAGTACAGCATATTGCATTTGTTCTGGTGAGTAGAATCATTACCTTCAGGCTTTTTGCTGTAAACACAGTCTTTTCAGAGAAAATGCAGTGTTTACATTACAGCCTAGTGATAACTTCACTGGCCACTCCTTAGCTGGCTGTTAGAGATCCTTCTTGGGTCATGGCTGCCTAAAATGCATCCACACATTCAGTGTCTCCTCCCTCTGCATGCAGACACTGAACTTTCCTCATAGAGATTCATTGATTCAATTCATCTCTATGAGGCGATGCTGATTGGCCAGGGCTGTGTTTGAATTGTGCTGGCTCTGCCCCTGATCTGCCTCCTTGTCAGTCTCATCCAATCCTATGGGGAAGCATTGTGATTGGATCAGGCCACCACTTCTGATGATGTCAGCAAACAGCTTGCTCTTCTGAGGCAAACAGCATGCAGAGCTACAGCTTCAGGCTTGAATACAAGTAGGATTTTGCTATATTTAGGGAGGCATGAGAGGTCCAGGGGGGCTAGATGGTGGTTTTAACACTATAGGGTCAGGAATACATGTTTGTGTACCTGACCCTATAGTGTTCCTTTAACCAGCTTCCAAAGACTCTACTCCATATCTATGCTTTCCTGTGGTCACCTCCAAAGGGGCACTTATAATAAAAGGGTGGGGTGCTCAACCCAAAGGGAATCTTACCTGGATTCCAAATATACATAGAAAAAAAGAAATGGGGGAAGGGCACACCCTGAACATGCATTTTTCAGTAGTAGTGGTGCCATAAAGTTCAACATATATACAAAATACAGTATTTTAACTGTATTTTGTATATATTTTGGTCTTTATTGCAGCAGCACTACAGAGAAACGCATGTTTTGGGTGTGCCACCTCTCAATTCCCTTTTGACTCAATAACCAGCCACACATCTGAGTTCAGAGCTGTGTTCTGTGCAGAGCTATATCAAAGTGTCACCAACAATTTTATGTCTAATTTTTGGTAGATTAAATCTGTGTATTAAACCTGTCAGATTTTTCATCGGTTGCTTTTTTGTGCCCTGTCATTTTTTTAATATATGCCATTATTTTGGCAATGTGATAGATTTCTGAATTTGACAGAAAAGTGGCAGAATTTTAACTCACTTTAATAAATAACCTTGTTTTAGTAACCTTTTTTGGTAGTTTATGTATACTACAATGCTCATTTTATATATTGCATGTTGCATTTAATGTGTTTTATCATGTTACTAGTAGAATAAT